TGAAACGATGTTTTAACGATCGTCGCCGATGATCGAAACTGGATTCATAAGGGGCGAGAAGTTGTTTGTGTATACCAGTTCACGGAGTACACCGAGCGAGGAGAACGCGGCTATTATGTGTCGACGCGCGACGACCGTGAGAGGCCCATTTTATCTCGTACAAGGATTCCCTCGCTCGATATTATTCGCCTCCACCTCGACACGCATCGACGGCATTAGTCGCCTCCTCGGCTTTCTGTAAATGGGGAAACAGCCTTTGGGCTAGTCCCCATGAATATGCAGGAATTTGCTTTCGAAACGACGCGCCGACTTTGAACTAGAATCAAACACATCCATCACTGAGAAGAAATATGTAACCGATTCTTTTTATCAATAATTTTTCAATGTTCTGTTTGATTTCTGTAAAAATTCTGATTTTATTTATTGCATTTCATTCATTGTCAGTCCTCGTCTTTGATAATAAGTTAAGTTGTGGCGCGAATTTTAAATTCCGCTGACAGAGGGCGCCAGCAAATGGCGCTCTGTATTCAATTTCCCGCTAGGCGTCGCGATCGTACCCCTAGATGTCTCATAATGTCTTCATTTACTTATTTAGGGTTCGAATCGTTTCCACTTCATAAATTGACATTGCATGAAATACTATAGTATCAGTCTTTAGAAAATGATTTGTATCTTGTTTATAATGACACTTGTTACTATTTTTATATCAGATTTGCTGTTATTTTATCTCGCAATGTCCCATCTTCGAAATACGCCAGCTAACAAATCACGGCCATCCCGACCAGCCTTTTTCCCTTTCTTTCTCTCACGCCAGCAGCGCAAGCTGTACGCGGTAGGGGCTTTTGTTGCGTGCCGAGTGGCCTCTAGTTGACGAAATATTGACATCCGAGAATAGAAACCCGTTGTGGGCTTTACAGAGAGGGGCCCAGCCCGCCCCCGGTCGGTGTTCATAGGGGAAGACAGAAGGGGAGAAGAAATAAGGGAGAAGAGAGAGAAAGAGAAAGAGCGTCGAAGGGAAAAGGCATAGATTCGATGGATCTCTCCCTCTCATTGCTTTTTTACCTCCATCTTTTTCTCGCCTACTCTTTCACCATACATTCTCCGTCTCTTTCGCTTTCGGTTTCTCCCTCCTTTTTCTCCTAGAGTTGCATTCAGCACAAATTCAAAGAGGGTGGGACTCCGGATGACGTCAACCTTCAAAATGCTCCCTGTACGCGCTATATCTGGACGTAAGTACGTTACGTGTACACATATGTACAGGGTGTCTCGGAAATCAAATATGAAGACCATGGGCAGCTGTAATAGCTACCTCTTCATTGTTATATGATTGAAGATTTATTTAAGGAATTCCTTCTGACAGGTGTTAATTGTAATTAACTATGCACGTATGCTATCTGTTTGCACTGGTATCCCAAAGTAGACTCAATGACAGAAGTTGGAACACTGTGGAAAGACTTGGGCACGATAAATGGGCTGTTTAGCTTGGAAGCGTTACATACGTATTATCCTTTGTTAATTTATACATCCTTTTAATCTGGAATATTTTATATTTGGTTACTTTTTACATAGAACGTATATTGACTCACGAAAGTATTCGAACGATATGGGTGTACATGTTTCAAGTAACGATTCGAATAAATGTAGTTTACTTCGTGTACCGTATTAAACGACTTTCTAATAGCGCTCCGAACAATGTCTCCCAACGTGTCGATATATTTACGCACACCCTGTATACAGATCCAATATGGACATGTGTATGTAGACGAGCGAGAGTACACGGCAGGGAGACGTGTTCCTCTACTGTCGGACGTATTCAATTCGACCGAGAGAGGCTATTATTCGAAATTTGTTTTTGTTCGATGTGCCATAATCGCGTCTCGAGGACACGACACGCAGAAAAGAGAAGGTTCTCTTTCATTTTCGGGTGACGGAGAGGCGGCGACGCGTCCCTCTTCCGTTGACTTTGAAAATCTCTCGGGTCAAGCGGGCGCGAAAAAAATTATTTAGCAAATGATTAACGAGATCTTTATATCCGTTTTTTTTTTCTTCGTCTTTTTTTCATCTTATTCTAGTTCTAATAACGTGGAGGACGTTCCTTTCGACTGTCGATCGTAACGGTTTTATTCCATGCCAACAGAGAATGGCATTGGCGACAATGCTTGTATATTACCTCTCCCGTGCAAATAACAAAGTTATTTTTAAATATTTCGCAAATTTTAATGTCTCTTTTTACCTGTGTCGATCCTGTCATGGTATTGGAAAATTAAAAAATATTTTCAAACAGATTCGGATAAACATTAGGATGACGGAATATTTATTTCTGCTCGTAGTATATCTGACCGATTATCATTCTATGCTTCCACCGGTAGAATCCTTATCCGTCTGCTATAAATCGTATCTTATCAAATCGATTGAAACTGAGAAGTTTAAACTTCTCTACAGAGAAGTTTATGAAGGTTCACTTTAGTAATGGTGAATACAAATTACTTAAACGATTCATTGCACTGAATCAACATCCAGGAAAGCATAATTCCGGTGTTCTACTTTCATACACTGAAAGTTTGAAGTACGAAAGTTTCGAATCAGTATGGCGGAGAAGAGAGGTGCTAGAGGGTGCCAGTGGCGCTGAAAAAGCGCGCGAAATAAGTTCTACCTACTTGAGCTTTCAAAACGTTCATTAATCATTAATGTTTCAAAAAATCACCAAGGTTCTTTTGAAATTCTATGATAGGCACTACAGATTACTTCTTGAGCATTCGTAGCAAATGTGTTAATAATTTTTTTAATAGGTTAGGCGTTTTTTAAAGATGGCTAATAATTCTAATTGACTTTATAAAATAATTATTCGAAGGAATTTAAATGAAAGGGTTCTAGTTTCAATGCAGAAATTCCTGGTGATTTTATAAATTATCACGAGCATGCGCAAGAGTATGAAGCGTGTCACGTGGTAAGCCGACACCGCGAAGGATACGGTACGATACACACGGTGCACTCTTTCACGTGTTCCCCGAGTTTCGAACATTATATAGAACAATGGTCATCGTATACCCTGTTGTCTCGTGACTTCTTTTTCACGTCTGTCTGAAGTGAATTTCCCCAGCCCAGTATCGCCTCTATTACAAGTTAAATTTCTTTACAATAGCACGGTCTACTAAGTCCTGTCCAACTTCCTCGTCTTTGTGACCAGCTTGGAAAGTACATTATAACCGTTTTATTTATAACTTCTACCTGTAATTCCAATAAGCATCGATTGCCTCACAAGGGATAATGTCAAAGTGCCATCTACTAACACAACTCGATCCCTCTGTTAGTTTTACTTTATTCTACTTTAGATTATGTTTTCACTAAAAATCCCTACGGTATAAACAAAAAGTTACTAGATCGAGAATAACTCGAGAAACTAGAGATGTTGGAGATGTTCGAGTTACAGAGACTGCACTGTGAAATCATTCAAACGTCTAATGATACTCTGCACTACATATTCCACAATAATTAGAGAAAGAAAGCGTTATATGGAGTAAGTGGTAGCAAAATGGTCGCGAGAAAGCGTCTGGAATAGAAAGCACTGTGTTCGTTAGAAAAGAATTGTACAGGCTTGTCGATGTTCCTCTGTAATATTCCCATTCTTAGAGTGCTTCAAAAACCCCAACCATTGAGATATTTTTTTTTTTTCGCTGTATCGATGTTGTATCGGACAAGTCGAAAATGATCGTGCAAAAGGCGATGTAGTAGGTTCCACGGGCACGATTGCACCGGCAAACGGTGTCTGTAGCAGAACGATATTATAAGCGGCGGCAGCAGCAGTGTGTGAATAGCGAGCACGTGCATTTCCCACAGAAAACCAATAGGGGCCTTGGCCAGCTGGGAACATGAACGGTGGCGCAGGGTTCGCCTCTGTCTTTCGATCTTTTGGGGTATGCGCGCCTCGAACGGGGACAGAAACGTTTCAACGAAGGCTACTCCACGGCATACAATATTCAGGCCAAGGAATATGTCGATAAAAGGGCTCGACAAAGGCATCGTAGTCCCGACTTCTTCGTCCTTTTTATCTTTTTAACGATTTACTAGCCGGCTACCGCCAATTCGAACCTATGCGGTCTTCTATTAGATTATGGACACCATATGGCGTTTTGGAAGAAATCTAATACCAATTTTGATCTAGGCTAAATTTAATTTTAAAAATTGACAAAATTTAACTGGGGGAAAAAATAGAAGATTTTTGAAATAAATAATATTTAAGTAAAAAAATATCTTTCTCTACATATTTGTTATATTTGAAGAGTTATTGTGTGAAAAGGGGGATTGCTGAAATCTGACAAACCCAACCCAAATCCCAAGAAAAATTTTTTACTCAACTAAAAGCCCGACATTCTCAGGTTCTCCCACACCCCTAGATACAACCAATGATTAGTGTTGAAAATGACTCGTGTTAAATATACTCTAATTTTCTATTCGTGGAATAAAAAAAACTTCGATGAGGGGGAATCAGCCGTAAATCGATCGATAGAGCGTTTAGAAAAGAATTAGAAGGGAGATAATTTCAGTTTAGTTTTAACCTTTCGCGAGTTAATCGTTTGGATTGATACCTAGACCTGGGAATTGGTAATTGTAACTTAACCATTCCTTTTGGCATGAACTATTTGAATATTTTCGATGAAGGATTATATACGCGATCTTAATTAGGTACTGTTAATTTAATATTGAAGATGATCGATAGAAGGTTCAAGTGTTTGTCACGTGATACGCGATTTAAGTTGACGACCTTCTCAAATAATTCAACGATCATGAATAACTGACATATTATTATTGCTGGGCAATGGAAAATGGAGAACGTTGCGATACAATCGATTACTCGTATAGTTCGAACACGAATCTGACCTACAAAGCGATACTTATATTACTCTTGCTTCGATGTCTGTTAAAACCGCTCTCCGAGTTACTTAACGTTTCTGAAAAAAGAAACTCTGAATAAAAATGCAATTTTTCTTGTGTGCTTTCAGCAGTAAGTCCGGTTTTCATTGTATCGCCTTTAACGCGTGAGGCGCGATCATCGGGGTCGTTTTCGTGAAAGTTAGCAAGAAGAACAGCATCAACAACGGCGGCGATAGGCGTTGGGGTGCAGCCCGTGTTATCATCCGGCTATCATAGCACGGTGCCACCCCAGAACGGGGGTGGTGGTTCGACATTTAGTGCCGCGGCGATGGTGGCAGCTGCCACCGCTACGGCCACCGCCACTGCTAGCGTGGTGGCCATGCAGGACCGCCAAGACATCCCCTCGCAATTCAATCAGGTACGCTTTCATAATTACTTATCTTCGTTAGGTCAAATGGTGGAAGTACTATGGGACTGTTAGAAAGATGGCAAATGGCAAATGGCGCAAATGGCACAGTTGTAGAGATAAAGAACATTAGACATTTTTCCAACAACACATAAGTATATAGTATTTATATAAAATAAATATTTGTTATTTTTAAATGAATTTTATTGATTGATCATAGATGCAGAGCCAACATGGAATACCCCACCAAACGTACAACGCAGGGTACGCCCAAAGAGGACCAATGGCCGGAATGGGGCCAGTCGGGATGAGCAACTTTAACAGCATGGGCACGATGAGCCCGATGCACTCTATGAATTCCATGAATTCGATGAACAGTATGAATGGCATGAACTCGATGAATCCTATGTCGATGGGAGGTATGAACGGTATAAGTGGTATGAACGGGATGACCCCCATGAGCTCCATGAGTAACATGGGTAATATGGGCATGAACAATATGATGGGACCTAACAACATGCAGATGAACAAGATGAGCATGCAGGTATGAAAAATACATAACGAGTCTTCAAGATTTCGAGGTTTCTTATATGTGACTTTTCGAATAAAAAAAGCATTGCACATTTCAGGCTCAACCACACCAGGGCTATCCAAGAAGACTAGCACCTTATCCGAACCCTGCGATGCACATGGCGCAGAAGAGGCAACAGGGTCCTTACCCGGGTCCCAACCCGGCTGCGATGCAACCGGCCTTCAACGGCATGACGACGTCGCAGTACCCGACCAATTATCCCGCGGCAGCCAGACCGAACTTTCAACCTCAGTACCAGCCGATGCAAACGATGAATCCTTCGGCAGCTGGCTTTGGGCCTAACTCGATGATACGAGGAGCGAATATGAGGCAAACTGCACCCTCGTACCAAACCGCGAATCAAGCGGCAACCAATCAATACTACGGTAGCAATGGTATACCGGTTAGCATGGGACCTACCACGGTGGGCAATCAATTCGTTGGCCACCAACCTAACTCAGGATACGCCGGTGGCGCGTCTTCGTACGGGGCGACCGGGGCTGTGACCAGTCAGTACCAACAGGATGTCGCGTCGATGAGAACGACGGGCGCAGGGACTCTGAATTACCAGCACAGTCCCATCCCTGGTAACCCGACACCTCCGTTGACTCCGGCCACTAGTATGCCTCCGTACATCAGTCCGAATCCGGACATCAAGCCTAATTTCAACGATATGAAGTCACCGGTTAACATTCAGAGTAAGTGTTTAATGGATCCATGTTCATCTTGCGTTAGATTGCCTTGGGGCAAGTTCTTGGACAGGCTTGTTATGCGCGGTAACTTAACCACGCGTCTCTCTGTTTTTCTTTACAGAGGACGATGAGTTAAGATTAACATTCCCCGTGAGGGATGGCATCATTCTTCCACCCTTCCGCTTAGAACATAATCTGGCTGTAAGCAACCACGTATTCCAACTGAAGTCCACGGTCCATCAAACCCTGATGTGGCGATCGGACCTGGAACTGCAGCTCAAGTGTTTCCATCACGAGGACAGGCAAATGAACACGAACTGGCCGGCGAGCGTGCAAGTATCTGTAAATGCTACGCCGTTGGTTATCGATCGTGGTGAAAATAAAACGTCTCATAAGCCCTTATACCTGAAGGACGTTTGTCAATCGGGAAGGAACACAATACAGATCACGGTATCGGCGTGTTGTTGCGTAAGTATTCAAAGATTCCGTATCAACCATTTCCACGAATGAAATTGATTGCCAATATATTATATACTATTTTTTTCTTTCATTTACAGTCACATTTGTTTGTGCTACAATTAGTTCATCGACCAAGCGTGCGAAGCGTACTTCACGGATTGTTACGTAAAAGGCTGCTCACGGCGGAACATTGTATCACTAAGATTAAACGAAATTTCAGTAATACTATTTCAAATAATGGTATTCAGTCGGAGAAGGATGTTGTAGAACAGACAGCACTTAAGGTAACGGCATTTGTCTCATAAGTATACAGTAAAGATTCGATAAAAGCGAAACGCTCGGGACCGAACTTTTGCTTATTCGTGCAGTTCTTACATTGTTAGAAGTTTACCGACCGCTTCGAACGTAGAAAGGATAACGAGTGAAAAAGGGACTGCTGATCTTTCTCTTCGTCTTTTTCTTTTTCATTTGCTATCCTTCCCCAATTATATCGTGTTTGGTATCATTTTAATCAGCAAAATGTCAGAAATATTCTGGTAAAGGTTTTATAAGGAAAAAATGAAAACTAACAAAGATGGATTGTTGCATTAGTATTATCTCACTGATAAATCCGATCCCAGATCTCAAAGAGTATACCCTCCAACGGTGGGGATGAGTTCTTATCATTTATCGTACAGATCTTTTTGGCATTTATCGAATATTTACTGTATAAGTACCTATATTCTTTTCATGTGAATTTTTTTTAATACTTAAAATTATGATTTTCTGCAGGTATCCTTAAAATGTCCTATTACCTTTAAACGTATTACACTGCCAGCTAGGGGACACGATTGTAAACATATTCAATGCTTCGATCTCGAGTCGTACCTACAGCTAAATTGTGAAAGAGGATCGTGGAGATGTCCTGTATGCACGTAAGTAACTTCTCAATCATTTCTTTTTCAATTAATAAACCTGACCATTCTCTAAATTAGGATGATCTGTTTACAGGAAACCTGCCCAATTAGAAGGTTTAGAGGTTGACCAGTACATGTGGGGCATTCTGAACACTTTGAACACCGCGGAGGTCGAAGAGGTGACGATAGACTCGGTGGCGAATTGGAAACCAGCTAAGAATTTAACTGGCATCAAATCCGAGGAAGAAAGCGATTGCAAAAGAATGACGAAGGCAATGTCACCTGGAAGTATGAACATGCCAACGATGAATAATTGGGATATGAATCAGGCAATGAGTCCGTACATACCGCCTGATATGAGTAGCATCGTAAGCGGCTCTATGATGAATAACACGCCGTCTACGTACGCGAATAATAATATCAATCATCGGAATTCGTCTGGAGGATCGTTCGATATCAACTCCGGAACGAATACGAATACCAATAACGATTACACAAACGGTGCAGGGCCACTGTCGCACTTGAATGAATCAGTCAACTCCTTGGATCCTCTCAACGCTATGGAGAAATCACTGAACGATCAGGTAAATTAAAGTTTTTTAAACATCAACATCAAAGTATTTGATCTGTCGATTCTAATGTTTGTATCATTTGTATCGCAGATGCCTCATACCCCACATACACCTCATACTCCCCATACACCCCACACACCAGGCGGTGGAAACAGTGGTCCACCAAGTGTTCCCCCTGCATCTCAGGAATCCACGGGAAATCATAACACGTCTGGTAATACGAGTACAAACATAAATAACGATACTGCAGACATACCATCTGACTTAAATTTCGACCCAGCTGCAGTAATCGATGGCGAGGGTACCGGTCAAGAGGCATTGAATGTGAGTATATGAAATTTTCAAGATATAAAGAGGAAATGTATAGTAATTGAAGTTTTAATAAAATTGTTCTTTGAATTGTGTTCACAGCTCTTGCCAGACAATGTCGTGGATCCAATGGAATTACTTTCGTACCTGGATCCACCAGATCTGAACACCCCTCCCAGTAGCGGCGCTAGCAGTGGTAACCCCTCATCAAGTGACGATATATTAGCACTCTTCGAATAAAGAAATATTCACGGGCATCTCTCAAGAGAAATAATCAAATCGCGACCCTAACGTTAAGGCGAAAGAAGAAGTGAGAGAAAAAAAAAATGGAAAGAAAAAAGAAAAAATAAATTGATTAACAGAAGACACAGGTTTGCATCTTACTACAAATATATTTCTAAATCGGAAGAAAATAATTGTAGTGAGCGATTTTCAAAACGTATTGGGGTCACTGTGGGTGCTTTCACCTAATTCAATGGTACAAAAAGCTTAGCTCTAATTATAATATTCCTATTGACGAAGTTAGGGCATATTATTAGATATAAAGACGACGATGACTTTTAATTAATAGGGCGGAAACGAAGCACCACCGGGCTGGTGTAGTGCTTAATTTGTAAAGATGTTATTGCACGGATTATGTTTAGTCCTTTGACATTGGGAATTTTTTTATTTCCAATAGAATAAAACAAACGCGATTATTAACATTGTGCCGGGCATATGTTCCAGAACTGACCACCGCGGATATATCACAATTATATTAATTGTGTTCAAAAGAAGGTAATCGAATTTTTTAATACCGAACATATAGAAGTAATGTTTTTCCACTGAGGAATTTTACATATAGATTAAATACTAAAGGGACATGTTTCTTTGATAACGGTAAATGTGCAATACGATCGACAAATTTACATACATTTTATACAGATTGCCATTTATCCAATTCTTCATTCCAAAATAAGTTTTTACAGAAATAATATTTGACAAAACATGCCATACTATAGAATAGAATAATTAATTTTTTTTTTTTGTGAACGATATTTCATTAACAAACATTACAAATCGTATAGCACATTTATAGACTTTTATATTGAGAAAAAATACAGGCTATCTGATATCAGCACAATATTGGAATGATTCTTTAGAGAGCTCTTAGTGTACCTTAAAAAGATATATGTAACACTTACTTGACGAATTTATGATTTTGGAATATTTGCTTGACAAAATGTGCTGTGCTATTTCACAAGACTTCACTTTGAAGTTCTCCCTGCAATACAATCTTTACCTCAGAACCGGTCTACTCGCATTCAGAAAGGCTATGATGGACCTACATCACAACAGAAATACAGTTGTACAGTAACTTTTGTAAATAAGTTTTAATCGAGGAAAAAAAAAATAGATAAGACGTTCATCTGTTGTGAATTTACCCTGCTTATTGATGGATATAGCGCATATAGTGTTCCTTTCCTTTAGATGATTAGTGACAACAGATGACACACAGAAACGAGGGCATATCGGGCTTCACACTGGAGGGAGAGACTCTATTTCACGTGGTGTATCTCCTGAGTTTTTGCAAGTATACACGTATCAAAGAAAACTTCTAATTATGTTTAGAGAATATATACTATACATTTTTTCATTTATACGAAAAAATTTTTTTATTTGTTAATTTCATTTTTTTTTATATCTATTTTGAGAATTTATCAAAATCGATTTATTCCCTTAGATAAACGATATTTTGTTATGATACACAAAATCTCTGAAGATACATCAATTATATATAGAGTTTATTTTCACATTTTGATGTTGTACTTGTAATTAAATCTGAAACAAAAGAGTTACCATCTTAGAGTTATTATTTTTGTTAAGATTGTTTTAGAAAGAAAAATCGCGACTATAGATTTAAATTTTCCAGGGAAACTAACAATAAATTGCACAAAATCAAATTTTATATGGAAACAGATGAGAATAGGAAACTGAATCAGTATGAGGAAATAAATTCTATATGACAACGGTTAGCACAAATTTTTTAAACGGACTGATTTCTCGTTTAACGAAAATTCAGGTTTAGAATTATTTGTATGATAAAACTGCCGGAGTGACACCGCCCATGGCCCCCCTTGCTTGCATAGTAGTTATTACATTTATATCTTTTGTGATTAAAAGAGAAGATATACTTAAAGTGATTCATGTAGATTATACAAATTTTATATTAAAACAAAAAACGTGTATTTATATTCCAGTGTGCATCAATAGCGCACATTGAAGGATTAGATGCGGTCAAGTTTCTATTCGTATAATTATAATAATATTATCGAAAATAGGATAACAACATTACTTATATTAAGCGAGATTATTGTATATTATCTGTATATATGATAAATAGATTAATAATATAAGAAAAAAAAATGGCAGATACTTATTGGCCAGTTATAATAGTAAAAAATGATTATCTTAATTATTTCTCAGAACCAAAACATACAAACGTGTTGTATGAGAATACTTTAAAAGAACTAGAAAATATAATATGTAAATGATGCAGGATAATAACAGTTCAAATTATTGTACTGTTATTTCTAATAGAATTATTACTTACCTATTAAAGACATAATTAACGAGGAAAAAAAAGTTTATTCAAATTGTAAGCTTTACTTAGGATTGCCAGGAAGTAGGCATATGCAACATTGTTGCAATTGTATATAGGCAATGTCTACCTATACCTACTTAATAATATCCTAAAATACACAATACATGGTCTTGGTTTACAAGTTGTAGAGCTTTATAAATATTTGATAAAATAAAGCTATCATTTTTATGGATCCTTGCTGATATAAATTAAACAGTCAAATTATTTATTCCTAAGTGAACGCATAATTGTCATTATTAATTGATAATTAATAATTAATAAAAATAAAAAGATAAAAGCATTTCATAGCAACCTGTTTATTTTATTAAATACAAACAGTTTTATACCAAAAAGAAAACTTAAATAAATTTTTAAAAAAAATTTGAAAGTGTTTGAAAAACTTACTTTATTCTATAGTAAGTATAGTGTGTCAGATGATTATGAATCTCTACAACTTTATGATTATAATACCTATTTATCTATTGTTAGGAGGCCTATGATTTGATCCTAAAGTGCGTCACTTTGAAGACTCGAACGAATGAAATGTCGTGTTGTCTTGTCGAGGCCTGAAAAGCTACACTAAGAAAATAAAATATTTTCATGTAATAACGACACAGCTGTACCTACTTATGGCACATTGAATACACATTCGATGGATCAAATAAAAGTTAGAGAGCATTTAAACTAAATGCTGATAAGCATTTACAGACAAACGATATTTTCATTTTATTAATTTCATACAAGCAAGGTTATTAAAAACAAAAAAATGATATGGATCAGTTTCAAGTATCGCATCAATTACACCACATGGACGTGGACCAAATTTTTGGAGATATCGAATATCAATTAAATATTTACCATATATGTTGAGTTTCTTGAAACTTCTTATTATTACAAAATTGAAAATATCGAATAATTAAAGGAATATGACTTACCACCAGGAACACATAATGCATACTTGATGTCACGAGAGTCCATAACTGCGAAAAGACCAGTTTTCGTTCTTTTCTGCATTGTCGCTCTGATAGGCAATACTTCCAGCGGAAGTGGAAAGCGATTGGCGGATCGCTTTCCCCCACCATCGCTGCGTTCCCCCACCATCTTCCAACTTGCGCGCTTAGTTATGGACTCTCGTGACCTCAAGTATAGACAGGAGAAGTAACGGCCCTATACATATTTCCCAAGGCCGGAATTAAGTTCGACACGTTTAGACAATTACTCTAACAAACGGTAGCAAACAATAGTTTATAACTATAAGATTTAAGGAGAAGAATTGAATTTAAATAACTGGAGAATTGGTTAGAATAATTATTTAACGAAGGGAGTACATTGAATTGATTAGAATCTTTTTCTTTTTTCTACCTGTAACGATCATTGGTGTAACTAGGAAGGGGCCCAGGGTGGGCCTTGACCTCTCTTAAAATGCAGATTTGTCCCTATCAGTAAAAATGATTGAAATAAATAAAAACACACATTTGTTAACTAAATACAAGACGTACAATAATACTCTTGATGAGTAATGAGTAGTTAGACATTTAAAACTTTTAGTAAAGTGTAATCTGACCCACCCCAGACAAAAATCCTAGTTATATCAATGATAAACGATGTTTTTTATACCGACAACGCTTTTATAAATCTACTTACCATTATTACCCCCGAATTGTTCATAGATCATACGAAGATCGTCTCCAAAATGGATAAATGATGTTTCATAAATTGAATACACCGACATACATAAATACGTACGCATTTACTAAGGTCGCCATAAGTGACTGGTACAAGCTTGTGTAAATTAATAAGAGAAATGTGCTGATCATTTAAAAAAAGAACAACTGATATCATTGGTTACGTTTGTGTGAAAAAATTTTAATATACAAAGACCAGTTTATCACATTGTCACATTGTTTCTTGATAACAGTTAGAAACATTCAATAAAAAAGTCATAAAATATTGAACGTTTGTACCATTCTTATAGATCATTCTTCCTACACAGCTCGAAAGAAACATATTTTGAAAATAAAAATCTTTATGGAATGAATAAAAAAAAAATCATCATTGTATTGATACGACAGATATATTGAAATAAATAACTACTTGACAATTAAATATGTAGAAAAGAAAGAACTTGGTGTTTATTGTTACATAATATGATTATATAAATGTGTTTTGTATCATTGTTTGAGTTTAAGAAGTAAATTGAATATTTAATTTTTGTTCTGCTGGTTCAAAATGATCACTATATTTAGATTTATTAAATTTTACATAATATTACTGCCTTTTTTTAACATAACTACTAACGCTAACTGACGGCGAGCGGCAAAATTAACAAAGCGGTAAATGGCGCTTTTTTCAAAACGAACAATTTTTACGTTCAAATGGCACTACCAATGACTACGCATGTAGAAGACTGGACATACCTTTGTTTTCGGGGGGTCATGATTTAGGGAGCCCCAGACACCCCCAGATGAGATTAGATCTGCATGCAGAGAACACAGCCAGTATGATAATCGTGCCTGTTTTGCCAGTCCATTTACCGCACCTCAAATTGACACTTTTGTATCCCGACATTATGGCATCCGGGGTGTCAGGGACCCCAAAGCTAAAATATGTGACCCATAGACTTTCTATAGACTATTACATCGAATGCGGGCACTATACATATAATGTAGGGAAGTTTCACCTATTAAATTAGCGTTCTTTATATACAAGGTGTTCGACAACAGGTGGGCAAAATATTAAGGGGTGATTCTAGGGATCAAAATAGGACGAAAATTAAGAATAACAAAATAGCGTTAGCGGCTTTGTTTTCCAGTAATTGACGTTTAAACATTCGAGTAAAAAGCACCTGAAACCTGCAATCCGTCCAGCACCGACGACTGAACGTCAGGTCAGTAGGGAAAGGTACAGTCATAATCAAGAATCGAAGCTGAATTCTGCATAACCGAGAAACAGAATAGCACGATGTAATATTCTACTATTCCGCGTCGGACGAAACAATAATAAAATAGTAGAAATTTATTAAACTGTATAAAACAATGAAATTCAATTATTTTTATATCCAAGAATTTCTAATTTCTTTTATGAAAACATCTTATTCAATGGAAGAAAATATTAAACATAGTTTTTAAAAATCTTTTTCATACATTATATCTTCACTTGAAACCCAACATTTCGTAAATCTGTAGCGATGTCTTGTGGAGATAAAACTTTCAAAGGTGGACGTGTAGGTCCAGGGTTGATACTCGTTAATAAAGGCATCGCCGTCTTTAAAGTCTCTACCCAATTACCTGAAATTTAATGTTATAATTACAATATGATTTCAATATAATAATTTACAATTTTTTTACCATGTCTCGATATAGCCATTACGGCCTTTGTCAATTGTTCTTGTTTCGCTTTTGCTATCAACATATTTCCGGCTGTTCCCTCGTTTAAAGTTTCGAGTACAAGTTCTGGCAGGATATTTGAGCTTGTTGCTATAATTGAATCCATTCCTAATGCGCAGGCTGCGCTTATTACCTAAAACAGCATAAAATTATAATAGTCAAGGAATGGAATTAAAACCGGTAATGTGTGATTGCTATTGCGTTGAAACAAAATTTCAACAAAAAATACTTTTAATGAAATAATGGACAAATTTAACCTGATTAATTCCGAGGAACACTGCGTATTTCTTGTTGTGAACATGTAGTGCCTGAGCACCTTCTTCTAAATTAGCACTTGTGAATTTTATACCCACGAAGTTTGGAATTTTTCCGTCAACGTATTCAAGGAATTTTGGCATATGCACTGAAAAAATGTTCATTTTTATGAATACACATTACATATCATAGCTTTCACTTTGTAAACTTAAAAACTTCAAAATTACCGGTAACGTTAGTAACCGTTGGAATGTGGTAATAGAGAAGCGGCGTATTTGGAGCTGTGGAGCCAACTAATTTTAAGTATTCAGTCAATTGCTCAAATGTTGATGGTTTGAAATACAATTCCGGTAGACAGAGTATGGAATCCGCTTTAATACTTTCAGCATGCTTTGCCTTAAAAATAAATTTTATAAACAGCAGTAATCAAAGTTACTATCACTTTATTACAAGTAATCTCGATGGCTAATTATGATCGGCGCTACAAATTTAATTTTGAAATTTACTAATAGGTTTAATAATTAGAATAATTGATTCGGTGATTGTAAAAAATGGGACTGTTCATGATTTTTCAAAAATTCATTTTTTGTTGTGTTCTATTTTTTAGTAAATATTTTTTACGTACGAGTTCAAGAACATCGGGAAGAGGTGCACCTCCTACTTGAACCATCAAATGTTGTTTTGTTGTTTTTACAGCGTTTGACCATGCTTCTGCGACCAGCTTCCTTTCACTTGTAGACATAGATGGTCCCTCTCCAGTTGTTCCATTTACTATTAAGAATTATAAATAATATTGCATTTTTTTAAATAAAAGTTTCCTTGTACATATCATTTTTACTTACCAAGAACTCCGGTGACCTTCTTCGAGGCTAAATAGCTGGCATATTGAGGTATAATTGACAAATTTAAACTCCTTGAGCTAAAATAAAGAAACTTCAAGTGACATAATTCAAAAAAGATTATAAAGAATAAATATTAATTTTACCGATTAGGTATTAAGAAAATTACTTACCTGTCATTATTAAACGGCGAAAACACCGGGGTAATGAGACCTCTAAACGTGAACGGTACTTTCTGGAATTAGAAATTAATCAAACGTGGAAATGAAATGAACTCGATTGTTCAATAATTGAAATTAATTAGTATACGTATGCAATTCTACATACCGGCATCGTGGAGTGCGAATTGAACTTGTGACGATGTAATTTGTGTACTGAATAAAATTGTTCGGAGAGGAATATTTTTACTATCACTTCGATAAGATTGTTTCAATTACATATCAAACAGTACACCGTGCATGACTTAATGTTTTAAACTTAAACACTTGCGAAGCTAATAATCTTATGCGAACAGGTTTCTTCATTTGGCGACAGTATGGTGGGATGTGACATATCACGTATCCCACCACTTTTAACACTTTCGCTACCATATGTTTTTCGCTACTATATTTCGATGTTGTCAGCCGCTGAAGGTCCAATTACGCGATATCGCGTGCTTGACAGGAGTTTAATGCCGCATTAATTGCATAGATTAGCGACAACTGCAAGAATTAATTACGTCTAACTTAATTAAATACTATCATGTTTTATATGAAAGTAAAAAAGATGTTAAAGAAAAAAATATAAACAAAATACCCTGTATAAATATTTAGAAATCATAGAAATTTATTAAATTGTATACAGGGTGTTAAAAAATACCCTGAAGACCTCTACACCGCTGGATAGATCATAAAAAATCGAAGTGGAAAATTCTGTAGCATTTTTCGATGGGATCAGTAGTTTAGCCGCATTTCGTTGTTTAAAATTGAAAAATTCACCAGTTTCTGTTTATTTTTTTACATAATTATAGTTTCACTTGAAATCCTAAAGTTTGTAAATCTTTAGCTATCGCTGATGTAACTTGGGGAGGTAACGTTTTCAAGGGTGCACGTGTAGGTCCAGGCTTGATATTCGTTAATAAAGGCATTGCTACCTTCATAGTCTCTACCCAGTTACCTAAAATTTAAAATTATGATTCACAAATTCGTCATTTAAACGAAAGAAGAATATTTAATCATTTTTACCATGTTTTGATATAGCCATCACAGCTTTTGTCAATCGTTCTTGCTTTTCTTTCGCTTTCAACATATTTCCGGCTTTACCTTCGTTAAAAGTTTCGAGTAGAAGTTCTGGCAACATATTTATACCTGTTGCTATGACCGAATCCATTCCAAGCGCACAGGCAGCGCTTATTAACTTAAAATAAAATAAAAATATACAGAATATCCCAGGCAACTGAGAAAGGTTGTATCAAAATTCCTATAAAATATACCTGATCATTTCCAAGAAAAATGACGTATTTTTTATTACTAGCATTTAATGCCTGAGCACCTTCTTCTAAGTTAGCACTTGTAAATTTGATTCCCACGAAAGTTGGAACTGCTTCGCCAAGGGATTCAAGGAATTGTCCCATATGCACTGAAAGAAATTCATTTTTGGTTATAGCTCTTATTTCTGTAAATCATAACACGACTTAGCGCAAATTTCAAAATAATTATATCGATTAGCTTACCATTAACATTGGTGAACATTGGAATATGGTAATAGAGGAGTGGTGTATTGGGAGCTGCAGAGCCAACTAATTTCAGATATTCTGTTAATTGCTCTGATGTTGTTGGTTTGAAATACAATTCCGGTAAACAGAGTATGGAATCCGCTTTAATGCTTTCAGCATGCTTCGCCTTAAAAAGAAATTTTATAAATGATAATTATCGGGAAAAAGTCACGAGTTAAATGAATATTGGAGATTCTCATTTTGCATTTATTATGTAAAATTTGATTATTTACTTACGAGTTCAAGAACATCAGGAAGTGGTGCACCTCCTACTTGAATCATCAAATGTTGCTTTGTTGCTTTTACTGCGTTTGCCCATGCTTCAGCAACTAATTTCCTTTCGTTTAGATTCAGTGATGTTCCTTCTCCAGTTGTCCCATTTACTATGAATAATTATAAATCATTTCATAAATAATATTAAATGCAAGAATTCACTTACAAATATCATTTTTGCTTACTAAGAACTCCAGTGATCTTCTTCGAGGCTAAATAACTTGCATATTGTGGTATGATCGACAAATTTAAACTCTTTGTGCTAGAATAAAGAAATTACAAATGAAATTATTCAAAAAGATTATAAAGAATAAATATTCATTTTACTGATTAGTAAAATAAGTTACCTGTCATTATTAAACGGTGTAAACACCGGGACGATGAGTCCTTTAAACGTGTACGGTACTTTCTGTAATGAAATATTAATTGAATTTGTTATTTAAAATATTCCATGTTTTACAATGCTGTTAAAATGAAGCTTAAACTTTCATATTTACTGATTATGTGGCTTTAGATAGAGAAATCTGCTTATCGTAAACATCAATGAAAATAAGATAATTCATGTATATAAGAGTTTATCATTATTTTTTTCTTTATTGTTGTGCCAATGAAAATATATTCTATTTACAATAGATATTAATTTAATTTAATATAATAGATATATTATAGTTTAATATAATAATTCATTGAAGATAAATTATAATATCATATCACATTATATCATATCATATCATGTCATATCATAACATATCATAATAATCCATAATAATACCATCTGATCAATAAATTTTGTTTTCGTATTCTATTTTTCAAGTAGAAAATGATAAAGTATTTGAAATAAAGAATCGATCTATTTTTACTAATTTAAATTTTTATTTAATACGATCATACGTACCGGCATGGTGGAATACGAGGCTCACTCTCGAAGAACTAATTTGTGTGCTGTATAAACTCTCCGGGAGAGGAATATTTTTACCGCGGCTCTGATAAGATTGTCTTCTCCGCGTATCAAACATTACACACTGCATGATTACTGTTTTTTCAACTTTCCACTTTTGACATTAATAATATTCAATAGCACTCTTAATGATAATAAACGTGATTAATCGATATCTTAAGGAAAGGGTAATACAAAAGCTATCACGGTTATTTATAAAAATGTTTTTTATATTTATTTACATGTAGAGTTTTTCCTTCAACAATGCCGATGATATATTAACACAGTACCGTAGTCATAAATTATATGTATGTATAAGTTTTAAGAAGATCATACGCCTTTTTTTATGGGGATTATGTGTACCGTTTTATTCATTTTCTTTTATTTGTATTACGTGTATCTTTGTTCCTTAAAACAAGAATGAAGACTACCCGAGGGAGTTCACATAATAACGCCAAAGAGAATTCTATGTATGTAATTATCCTCTACTCGTACAATCTCCTTTTCTTAATTTATTTAAGTACTTAAGTATAACGAAATTCATGCTACAACACATTGGCTCGTATTAGTAAAAGAATCGTTCGTTTTTATATTATTTATTTCTTCTACTTTCGTACTTTTCGCGCAACATACCGGACTAAATGTCACGGTGAACATGATAATAACTACTTATAATAGTGTTCGGCTCCTTTTGGCCACTTTTCTTTCAAATAAATATATTCGTTTATAGTTTAATCTTTCTAACGTATCTTTTCGCCATTAGCGTTAATATTATCGTTATAATTATTATTTCTTTCTCATTTGCCTTTATCTGAACGTACGTCGAGCTCTGTTTTGGAAAAATTTGCGAATTTTTATAAATAAATATACTTATGATTAGAGGAACCAACGATTACAGCAATACTGGTATTATTATTGAAATAAATATTGACGTAAAAAATTTTTAATTAACTAAGCTCTTGGAAGCGACATAAATATTCTAAGACTATAATTACATAATAATATCAATTTTGAACTGATTAACATTTCAAAAACTCAAATATTCAAGCAAAATGCCTTCGAATAAAATTGACGAATTTATTGATTACATATTAAAATTATGGCACAAGATTAACTTTGATTACAATTTATATTTTTTATCAAAGATCGACGTGTTTTCGTGTGACTGTTGTGTTTTATATATTTGTATTTTCCAATGTATTTATTATCTAATGCAGTGTCAACGCTTATGTAAGTACGCTACAATAAATACTAAGTGGTGACGTAACCAGAAGTTATAGTTCTTTTCTTTTTAACAAAGAAAATTATAAAAATAATACTCGAATACTTCAGAAGTTGAAACAGTTTATTTTTGACGATAAGTTGAAAATATAAAAAGTGATATATATATACAGAGTAAGATAACAATATGAATTTAAATCTTTATCTCTTTTCAATTTTTTATTTTGGCACGTGCTCAAAATGTGTATTTGAAAAATCGTTTTAATACATATGTGTTTAAGATATTACAAAATTTACAAAATAATTATTGTTCTCTAATAACAATTTCAATGAAATAGTCAAAGGAAAGTAAAGGAAGAGATGTTAATATTTTTGTTTTCCTATTTGAAAATATAGAAAAAGAAATTTTTATTACAAAATTTCATTAGTGGATCTATGATGGTGTTGAATATGTTATAAACTTTTCATAATAATAAGAAATTATATCGTGAAATATATGTTATGGACGCATGATAAAGATACATTCTCCTCACATAAATGACAAAAAAAAGTACTGAAAATTATCTATAAGAAGGATCAGTTTCAATGCATTTTTGGAGTCACTTCTTCCAGCTGGTTACGTTACCATTATTCGTCGAAGATTTAACAAATCCATTATCTATTTAATGACTTGTACACGCGATCAGTATCAGCAATGGCCTAATTTACTTACGATGCACCAAAAAGCTGTCGATGAGAATGCGATAGAAACGAATCACGTTAACTTTCACATACATACATTTACACTCGCGTGTATGTATGTATGTATGTATGCACAAGATTAATAAATACATATACGTTAATGTATGTATGTATATCATAAAATTCACACTTATGAAAAAGACATTTCGTATATGTAGTTTAGTTAGATAGATCAGCTGCTATGACCAGGCCAGCCTAGTCAAGCAGCAGAAACGTTTTTTTAAACTGTTTTCTCCTATTAATTTCTTTTCTTTATTATTAATGTGATTTTTTTAATTTTCTTCGACTGGATCGCGCCCCGTACAAAAGTGCAGCACATCATTCATAGTTGTTGAAAATATAATACGGCTTGATTCGACAACAATACCGATTTCAAATTATTCCTTTACTTAATTATCCTTTAATTATTATAATAATTGAAATACGAACGATACCAATAAATTTTATTATACGCGACGTGCAGGTTTCAAATAGAAACAGAAAATTTTCATAATTATTTCAAAAGATTACATTGTTTAGAATTTTAGATTAAAATTGTTGGAGCCCGTAGCTGTTAAAACTTTCAAGTTCCCTTGGTTGGAAAATTTGGTTTGAAAATTAAAATTTATTTTAAATAAAATTAAATAACATATAATCGCAAAGGAAAAGAGCAACAGTAAACAAAATTTTATTTCAATATTTTTTGACATAGTAAATGGTGGAGCCAGAGGATGCATCCCCTCTTGTTAGAGCTCCCCTTAATCCGACGCTGCGTGTGTGAATTCATTTTTCAACCTAATAAATGATATATAAGTACTGATTGTTATCGAATCATTAAGTACATCTAGACGCATGCATGCATCAGTATGCTGTATATACATATCCATGCAAAGATACATTCTCACATACAGACATACGTGTACGCATCGATGCGTATAGTTTATTCATAATCATATCGTTTACATGTTAACGCGTACATATTTTATGATAATAGCTACCGAAAAATCACGGATATGTACAAATAGGGATATGCCCGATCGATACAAGGTATACGATTCTTTCGTACCCAAACAAATTCATATGTTTTATTTTTTCGAATTCGATTCGATCGAATAAGGATAATCGAGTTTCGTTTTATTCTCTTTTACTTTCTTCCAGAGATACTAATGATCTTAAGGACTTTCTCCGAGTCATTTAAAATGAATTAATAATTATAGTAATAATAATAATAATTTAGGATGCTCGAGCATCAAGGCTTAGATTTTTATAATTAATACTGTTCAAGATTGTTGGAATCAAACAATATTTAATTAATTGTCAATATTGTAGCTTACTTCATTCGGGGATCTGAGGATTAGTTAATTAAACAAAGGGACTAATTGTAAGGACTATTTTTCTAGGGAATACAATGAGTAATCACGGAACTCGATTGTATCCTTTTCAAATCTCATAGAATATCGATACCGATCTCGGTCTCGTTTCTCTTCGTCCGAGTAAGAATCATTCTTCAACCATAACACCTTCATCGACGAAAAGAAACTTAATACTGCATCGTTTGCGTTCAGATGGCCCTTGAGAGCTCGTTCGAAAATATGCTTAATGAGTATGGTCCCAAAAGTTTTAAGAAGTATAGTATCTTTCATTCTAGCGAAATAGCATTCGTCTTATAAATATCTTCAACAAATGTTTCGGAATCAGCTGTATAGAAGGGACTTCCAAGCATTGACGTCGTTACGATTCAGTGTGAATAAACGAAAGTTTCGAAAATTATTTATAAAAAATTGTGATCAGCGAAAGTAGGAAAGAATTTTTCATTCAAATAATTCGATCCCAAACGAATTGGTCTAAGGTCGAAGTTTTGTGGATGATTAGACACTAACGATTTCAAATTTTCTTTCGTCATTCATGCGACGCAAATGCTCTTGGAAAGTTTAGTAACGAACAGCAGCGTTGTTCCGAAGACTACCGTTCTTTATTATTTGTTCTACCATTCGAAAGACGTCCTTTATAAGTCGATGATATTCTCGATGCGGGGGTTTTGTCCAAGACTCAAGGAGCATCGAAATTAACTATAACAATTAATTATCGTTATTAGTAGCCCTTGTTTTGCCCGTATGTACATAACGCTCCATGATAATGCTGTACACTACGTAAATACTGTTTTGGTATATAAATGCGATTTTCCTTGATATATTTATTCATTCATAAAAAGTCTTATGTTTTCCACGAGAAATGATATCGTATGATCTTAAATATAAAGTAAAATTCAGATATGGAAGTTAATGTAAGTGGTATTAAACACGTTGAATTGACATATTTGTGAATATCATATAAATACTTATTTAAATGTCCATTATCTAAGTATTTATATAATACGCATAGTATTTTTCGAATTTCTTCCTGTATTTTTATTACGTATATTCGATACTCTACTTATGCAATAATTCTGTGTTGTCATCATTATTTTATTTGTTCTTACTGTGTGCTAGTGAAAATTATATGTAGGAGCAGTGTTGAATGCTTCTCTATTTATTTTTTAAATATTTTCAATTTTTATAGATTGTAATTTGCGAATTTTTGAAAACAGATTTTTTGAATTTTTCCATACGTTTCTGTCACCCTTTTATTCATATTTATACAAAATTATCACGACTGGGTCGCGTGTGGTCCATATAATAGTATACCATATTTGAGAAAAAGAAGATACTGTTTGTATTCAAGTCATTGTTTTTATTCAAAATTAGGAAAGATATACGTTCATTATTAATTTATTTTCAGTCGCCAATTATCGAGTTTCACTTTTGAGCAAATCTTGTTTGTACCCACTTGATCAACTTTATTCTTATTTTCAGTTGAATGTTTGTATAGCTTGTCCTAGGATATGTTAGTATGTATTCGAATAAACGAGGGAAGTGGTATTCAAAAATATACTATGGAGCTCAATAACGTCACGAATTATTTTTTACAGAATCTACCTACATATTTCTCAAAACAATATTAATAATTTTCTGTATCGTAAAATTGCTCCTTTTAAGATATTTATTTATTTTAAACAACAAAATTGAACGAATCACGATCTTGTATATATATTTATTCTGTTTAAGAATAGAAATTTAGATAAAATTCTGATAAAAATTTCACAAGATTTTTGAATAAAAATACATTCAATTTAAAAGGAGAACACATAACATACAGTGAGTTGCAAAAGTATTCGTACAAAATATTGGAGATTTGTTTTTTATAAATAACATTTAGTATTTTGATATTTTATGGAATTATTAGTAATCAAGTGTTATTAAATTGCATTTAATTAACAATTATAATACTTTTTAATAATCATTTTTCAAATTATTTGAAAGTCTATAAATACTTATGCAATTTACTGTATGTGTTCTGAAATTATTTAAAAGTCAGTCGAGGTTCATTGAAATTACAAAATAGACTTAACGCGTTTCGTCCGGCTCGGGTAAATCTACCCCTAACAGAGTACAATAACATAGTTGCATCTGTTAACCCGGACCCGAATGCGTCAAGAGAAAATCCATGGAAGACGAAGAGTAATTTGTGTTCGTGACGTCGTTGGCCTGTGATAAATTTCCTATTATCTTTCTCGCTAATCGTTCGTACCTATCGTACATAGAATTGTATCGTGAAAATTAGGCAAAAGGCTCCGATAAAAGAATCGAAACCGAGTAGCGGTGCACTGTCCTTCAAACCATTGGAACGTGTTTAAAAGCGAATAAACGATCGACACTCCTTGGTCTCGTATTTATAACCTACAAGTTTAACTCGTTTAACAGTCCAAGGGGATAAAGGGGACAGCGACTGTAAAAGTAACATCGATCTAATTCATTTTTTCTTCAGTATCAACAATATATAATAAATATGATCTGTGAGTAGCAAGACTTTCGCGCGCATTAAACATCTCTTGTCTCGTTACAGAAAAATCTGATCGTATCATTGATACAACAACAGAGAAGATAATATAATTATGTACAAACATTGCCCGCGCTGCGTTCTCGTAACACACGAATAATAAATGGATATCTCTGTAGAATACAGATGGACTAGCATGAATATCTTTTTTCTTTAGCGAAATTTACGCAGTCGCAGGATTATGGAAATAATGTTGACTTCTTTTTTTTTTTTATTTAAAGATTCTCGGCAACAAGTAACATACTTCTTAACCTTAACCTCCGTGCGTTTTAAAGAACTTTGTCCTATAATGAATTTTCTTTTTGTTTTGTTAAAATACTGTTGTTTATGGACGAGTTCAGCGTTGTATTCATAAAATAATTTCAAGTACGCTGTACTTGAAGTGTACCTCAAAGTATGTATCGATGATAGAGCTTGACTAGACGTGTTCATTTAATTCATTCTTAAATTTCTTTATGCTATTTGTGAGAGGAACCGATAATCAGGTATTTAATTCGTGCGTGATAATAAATCATTGATAGAAGAAATGGAAAGTACATATAGTAACTTTGTTCTTTTTCTTTCTTCACTAATAATGTATGTATACCGCAGTTCACCAGAGTCCATAACTGCGACGCGCAGGTTGGAAGATGGTGGGGGAACGCAGCGAGCTCTCTGCTTATCGCTTTCCACTTCGTTTGGGAGTATCGCCAATCAGGGCGAAGATGCGCACTAGAGATGCGCGAAGAACGAAAACTGGTCTTTTCGCAGTTATGGACTCTGGTGAACTGCGGTATATTAACGTGTTCTCTTTCCCGCTTCTTTTTGTAATTAATAGTTTTTTTTTCTGCGAGAAGAAATCATGCAGTCATTTAGAAATAAGGATACTTTTCAGATGAGATTTTCGAAGAGAAACTGAAGAGATCACTGGTTATTGTCATTACGCGAAGTCTTTTCTCAGATGCAATTAAGAAAAATATAAAATCAATTTTTTACATTTATTCCTTGAATTTGTAATTCATTTTCTTCGTGAAATAAATAATTTTTGAGTTATTCATGACTGCATGATTGTTATGCATTGGCAGAAATTTGAGTAGAATGAAAGGGAATTTTCACAGACGAGTCAGGTACTTAAAGTCCAAGCATTAATTACTCGAAGGACAAGTAAGTGTTTATAAAAAGCAATCAGGTCCCGTCGTAAGTTACATTCATACGAGAAATTGATATTTGGCTTCGTCTTTAATAACTAAAATGAATCGGTTTTTCTATTTTGTAATTTTGAAGAATTCACTAAAGCCCTTGTATGATTTTTTAATAAAATGTATGCGTTGAATATAAATATATATGTATATTAAAATATATCGTTTAGATTAAAAAGTATGTATATATGTATAAAAAAATATGGAAAGTAAGTTAGTGTTAACAAAATGAACGAATTTAATTAAAATAAAGTTCGCGATTAAAAAATACTTCTGTATCTTGTTGGAAATACAGGTACCTCTCGAATTGAGAATTTGATTTGAAAAAATTATTTTAAAAAATAACAATAATGTTGTTATATATTTTAAATTTTATTTAACTTTAGAACTTGGCAATAAATAATAATTTTCATAAAATCAGCTGGATTTTTTATTTATTGCAATCTTGTTATTCGAAAGTTACCTGTACCTTGGGAGTCATCAAATGACAGAACTCTAAGTTTCCTTAAAGGAACTGATTTCCTCGAAGATCATATATAAAATCTTGATTTGTACGTTCAATGACTAGAAAAAGTGTGTGGATGATCTTGAAAATCGAGATCGTCGAGGAAGCTTTCGTAATCCTCCTGCCTAAACTTAAAATTAAATAGGAATTAAGCTTATTGTGCTCAATGATGCAAACAATTGTACGTATACTAGCATATATGCAATGATTTGTTGATCTAAATTCATCCGCCCGATACACGACGCATAAAATAACGATGGCATTAACAGGATTGTTTGAACGTAACGCATCTCGTTTTGCTTTACCGCTTGCTCCACGATTTTACGTCCAATCAAACTCCGTTTCAACCGATTGTACTATTTGCCGACATCAGTTTCCTTTCGAACGACGAGTTAAAAGATCAGACGTGTTTTAAGCAGTGTCGAGTTAGGCGTCCATTTGTAATTTCTATACTTATGCCAAAACGTTCCACGACGTTGATCATCGATGAAACTTCTCAATAACGATCTTCGAAGTTATCGAGGTACGAACGTCGACTAATTTATCTTTGCCTACACCTCGATCGCAATGATTACTCGTAATCATTAATTAATTCCTCCGAGTGGCGAAGATCGATGATATCGACGTCGCCCGGGACTGCCACTATGACTTCCACATCCTCAATTTTCGTAAAGACACCTTCTTCAAATGTATAGCCGCGTTCAGAATATCGGACTCGCGCGTGTCCTCGCCGTCGGAATGAACTTCTCTTCTGCGACCGGGCATCAGTAGACGATGCCTAAGTCCTCTGGAGGTGGGATCGGACAGGGCTTCCGAGACGGGTACCTTCTCTTTGCTGGAACCAGGCAGAGAAACCGATCTGCCGACGGAGAAGCCTTTACTCAGCCTGTCCAAGGTGGCTGGTAACAAATGTCGCCTCGGTATCGCTTGTTCCCTTTCTCTTAGAATGAATCTCCCCAGTGTCTTCCAGAAGGCTTGGGTGCTATAAACATTTTCATCGTCTCGTAATACTCTTAATTGACGATTACCACTGCCAACGGCGCCCGTTCCTCCCCATTCCAGTTCCTCGACCAAAGCGAACTTCATAGGATCCTCCATCCGCCTGGCTTTCACTAGAGCCTGCGCTAGTACGTCCTGAGCGGAACTGCTCACGGGCACCCGCAGAATCGCGTACGGTATATCCGGCGAAACATTGTAAATGCAAACTAAGAAGGTGTCAGCTTCGTCCCAAATATGGGTGGACGTGTCTCTCTCAGAGTCGAGTTTCGAGTGACCGGCGGTACTCCTGATGGAAGCTAACCAGGCTCTACTGCTGGGGTCGTCGCCCACCCTTTTCAACAGGAAACGCCCTTGTCCTTTCCACAATGCCTGAGCCTGCAGAGGGTGTTCCGTAGGGTCTAACACGCGTTGAGTAGGTAACTCCTCTCTGTCCCGCTTTTCCCAACCGCGTGAAACCTCTTCAACCAGTATGTACTCGTCGACGCGATCCGGGGAGATTCCAGCTTTCTGGAGAGCTTGCAGCATCACTTCTTGGGTCGTGCTTTCCTGGGTCACTTTTAAGATAGTGTACGGCTCGTCGGGTATCACGTGATAAACCATCAGGAAGAACATCCTTCTTTTCAAGGTTACTCCGCCTAAACCTGGATCCACGGTGGTCAATTTTTCCGGCTCTTTCCCCGAAGATGGACGCTTTGAGGATTCCTTGTGATCGCGGCAGCAGGTGTTATAATCGAGACTCTCCTCTTCTAATCGAGAGTAGATGAACAGTGTCGACAATGCTAGAGGTTTATTCTTACAGGAACGTAGACGCACGTGTCTGTACCCCGGTCTTAAACACTTTAGTGGAATGACTCTTTGAGCGATCAAATGATGGGAACTCGCTTCGACGATGCCGAAACGCAGGAAGGCGAGGTCCTTGAACATCACTTGGAAACAAAATTTCTCGTTCCAAATCGGATTCAACGCGTTGTTCTGTATCACTTTTGTTTTATGCTTGGCACAATCGATCGGGATGCCGACTAACTCGATCTCGACGTAGGTGCTGGCGACGAAGTTCGCCGGGGATACGTATTGGCCGGAGATGATCGAGAGCGTCAGGTGTGCCGAATGTAACCCATCGAACTCCTTGTCCCAAGGATTGAAACGTCTGAAAATTAATTTTATAATTTCAATGAAGGTTTTAATATTAATATGTTTTGAAAAATGAAAGATCGAATATGTTTTCGTACCTGTACATCATATGACATTTGTCCCACATAACCGAAGGTTTTCTCACATATCCGCATTGTCCATTTTGCTCGAACATGGCGGCGTTCAAGTTTAATCCAGCGTCGTCAGTTTGATAATTTAATGCTACCATTTGAATCCCAAAGGCCCAAAATATTACGGGATTGAAGTTCGTCGAGTCTATACGCATTCCGGCCGGATATGTTCGGATTAATTGAGTTTCAGCGTGAGCGACAACTCCTAAGGGTTGTTTCCTACAGATCTTTTTCGCTGTACTTTCGTTCAACGAGGAACACTGGAAGCATGCCGGAACTCCCCGAGTGGACCTGAAGTATTTTCATAAACGTAAACCGAGTAAGTCTGCTGTATAATATATTGAAACTTGAAGGACATCTGAAACCTCTACTTCGAAAGGGAAAATTTTTTCAAAGATCCATTTTTCAAGCGAAGCAATAAAATTTTGAAAGTTTTACACTTTGCATAATTTTCTGCATCATTCGCAACTGCTCCGCGTTGCATATTGATAGGATGACCTTACAGTGAACGAGTGCAGAATACGAATGAACAATGGAATGGCATTAAGGCTCGAATATGGTGCATATTGTTCTGATTCTTGTTTAAGATATAATATTATTTTATTCTACCTATCTATTGTAAGGTATTTGTAAAATACAGTGGTATCTCGGTATACGACCTTAATCCGTTCCTGATGTTTGGACTTATACCGAATAGGTACCGAATGGACTTATACTTCCCATAAGAAGTAATGTAAAAATGATTAATCCGTTCTCATGTAAAAAAAACTTCTATTGATATTATACCTACATTAATGGGGTTGTAAAATAATTTAAACACTGCTTATGTCATGAACAGCATTTAAACGATTTCCTAGAATTTTATAAAAAATATTCACTAGTTTATTTAACATAATCAATTTGTAAAATATAAAGGTAACCTAATGATAGATTCTAAATTAACAAACCAAATGGAATAAATTTTATTGCCTCCTGTTTTGCGGTTATAGTTTGTTATATGATATTCTTACTTGTATGATCAGTCAGTCCGAATATAATTGATTATTAAATTAATTTTTCCTCTGAGATAATTATTTAAAATTCACGCAAAAAATTTATGTCGTATACCGAGTAAAACTTGTCATGTCCAAACAGGACGTATTCCAAAGCAGACGTATACCGAGGTACCACTGTATCTCTATTTTCGAATGTTGAGTTTGAAAAATGTTGTTTGTATCTAATATGATTAATGAAAAAAAACCAACCTGAATAGGTTTTCAATATTGCTGCCACCACTTGCCAGGGACGCCGAAGTTGATAGAGACTGCGGCGAGCCTGATGGTGCACCTATGCTTGTAGCTCCTATACCAGCAATACTATGCCTCTGAACTGGTCCAGTGTGCGGTTGATGGCGCACCTTTCCAGTTGCGGTGGTTCCTGGCGTCATGTTCAATCCACGGAATTTAATGGCTTGCAGGTAAATTACCAAGTCCGAGAGTTCCTTTGCAATTTGGCTACTCTGCTTCTGTGACTTATCGTCGACCGCAGAATCGGACTTTAATCGGCCATGCGGCACCTGAGTTCCACCCAAGTACCTTTCGTAACTAGAAATCGAGTTATCTGAAAGGTAAAAGTTTCGCGTCAGATTCGTCGTTAATTTAGTAATTAGTTCATTTTCTCTCAATAGCGGTTGATCAGTTTGCAAACTTCCTTTCCCGATTATCCTAACGACTTTAATAACAGATTTCATTATTTATGTTGCCATTGTTAATTATTAAGCAAACGGTGCTGCAGAAATTAAGTCTTTCAAATGATCGGCTGAACATTTTCTTTAATGAAGACATAAAATATAAAACTGGGGTGAAATACTGCTGTAATATTTGTGGACTTCGAAAAACGCTGCAAACAATTATTATTGATGACATTAGTACAGGCAATTGAAATTTTTATCAGGCGTTGTCGAGGTATTTACTCTTGCAAACGTACACACGGTATAGAGGTTAATTAAAGTGCAGAAAAATTGCCTTCGACTGTTTGCAAAGGATATAATTGAAGTTCGCGATCAATAAATGAAGAGATAAGAAGCAATTAGAACGGATGAAATAATACGATCGGGCATTTGGGTTAAGCCATGGCTTGAAAAAGATTAGGAACACAACAGTTTTAACGCTACCGAAGTAACTAAAGTTTGTGTTGAATAGTGTATTTTTTTTCTTACGTTATATCCTTATTAATTTATGTTTATGAAATCAATATGAGATCGTAACTAAATTTAGAAAATAATAAGGCGTCGTTAAAATTTGAAAAAGCAATTTTAAATAATTTTTTAAGTTTCATGCAAATATTGAATGTTAATTTCAAATATAAACTTTAATCATTAATAAAAAGGTAAGAGAGTAGTTTAGGAGAATAAATAATGATAAGAATTACCGTCGATGTTGTCGTCCTCGTCGTCGTCCTCCTCGTCGTCTTCGTCCTCGCTGAAATATTCAACGACGGAAGCGCTGTTTACGTCGGTACGCATTTGTTTCATGGATGATGCACGATCGGACATCAGCATTTTTCCACGATGACTCAGGGGAGCGTGTGCCAGAGGACCGGCAGGATCCACCACTAGTTTTTTATTTTTTATCAATATTCGATAGCGCAATTGCGATGGCGATGGCAGCTGGGGATCGTCACCAAAGTCGGTCTCAAAGAGAAATTTCGTCACGAGCTTTTCGCCAAAAACGGACTGCAACAATATTGATAAAATTTTATTTTTTAGAATTCCTTTTCAAATAGGATTTTAGCAAAAATATCGGTATCGATTTTACAAAAAATCCTGACGTGATAGAAAAAAATGGAGGTCATTTTCGAAATCAGCACACCAAATAACATAAAAATAAGCGAAAACTTTTCTTGTATTTTTCAAAAACTTCAATTTCGCAGGCCTGTGTAACGGAATGGATCAACTTTGTAATTATTTGGCAGATTGCTTTTCGTAATGGAGTATCATTAACAGAGTATTTGAAAGGTACAACGAAATATGACGTACTTGAAATATTTGGGCCATCCGAGCCTGTTGACTCTGAGAGCAATGATTCTCAATAGAGAGAATCACAGGGTATGGAGAGCTCACGAAAGCACTTCTATCAATCGCTTCGACGACCGAGCGAAATGGTATCTTCGTAGTGAAGGTGTGACCATGGTAAATAACGGGAGACCCATCATCGCCGTCCCAGCAATCGAGTTCCACGCATCTACACCCTGTTAGTAGCACCTATAAAACGATCTTCGCGTCACGTGAAGTATACTGTATCACAAATTACAAAAGGTGCTTGAAAATTCTAGGAAAGTTTCGTAATAAAAATTTCAACATTTTCTATCAAGACTATATAAAATGAAATTTTAATATAATAATTGAATTAACGATTAATCCGCGGATGACGGACCATGGAGAGAGCCCCAATTTTAATTAAACTTTGTATCTCATATTATTTTCATCTACTAAATTTTACACTGTTCCTATGGAAACGATTCTTTCGTTTAAAAATTATAAATACAGAAAAATATAAATGAAAACTAAATCAATTTATTAACTTTGCAGTATTAACACTAGATTGCCGGACTCACATCCGTCAAAATAGGTATAGCACATATGGATTTTTAGAAATAAGGAGTGGGAAGGGGAAGGAATTAGTATTTCTATACATTTTATAATTCTATTAAAAACCAACATTTGTTTTAAAAAAAATTATTTCAGTTTTTCTATGTATATAGCAATAAAATCGTAAATGAGTCAAATTGACTCGCTTCGGCAATCTAGTGTCAAGAAAATTAATATCATATTTGAAAAAAGTGTATAGTAAAATTTATATAAATCTATTATGTGAAACATTTCTGCGAGAACTGTACAACAACTATTGAACGTAAAAAAAAGAATGATTCTTGTCACCTGCGAGTACAGCTGCACCGAAGATTCCCCTTTGAGCTGATGACCAGTTAAATAAGTGTTATGGGAGCTGGCAATGTAATACTGGGACAATGGCTGTTGCATTTCAGTCTCCGACGGTGTGGCATACTCGTTTGGGAAAGCATAATTGTCCTTGTCCATCATGTACCGTGCAAAGCCCTCGAAAGACAAACACCATTGTGTACGTAGTGCCGGGTCCGGTTCGTGTCGCTGAAATCAGAGCAAATCGTCCCGCTTCACTGTGTTACCCCAATACCTTTGTATGCGCATTGTAATGCAAAACCATAACCTGAGGATAATGACATAGTCCCCTAATTATTGCACGTTCAACTTCGAACTGATTGCCGAAGTTCGAAATGGATCGATTGTACAAAAGATATTCGTTTACCTTAACAAGTGCTTTGATCTCTTCATCGGTCAATTTTTCTTGCTGCCGCGATTCCAGAAATTTTGTAAACGTTGCCAGGGTGATAACTTGCGACTTCGAGGTGTCCACGCCGGAACAATTGTTAACGATACTGGCAGCAGCCACAGCGTCGAAAACTTGCTTTTTTTGAAGATTACTGCTAGTTTTGTATTCGTGACAGTCGATCGAGTTGTTCCTCGTCAAAAGACCTGTTACAGAATATTCGAATTTTCAACTTTTCGATTAAATTTATTTACATTTAATTAAATTCGTGCAAAACTGACCGATTCGTTGGGGGGTTGCGTCGCTGGTTTGCCTTAACACAGGCGGCCGTATGTTGAAGTCTCTCAAAGAACCGTCGCTTTGGCTGCGACAAGTGATCGCTAGTTGGCCGAATAGGTCGCGCAAATCCTTCCTGGCCCTCAGGCTGAACGAGCGGAACAACGCGACGAACTCGACGAAGTTTAACTGAGTTGCGTACATTATGGAAGCGGTGCGTGCTTTTACTTGCGAAGGTGCTTCCATACCACCTAACATCCCGGATCCATTCTTATCTTTGTCTTTGGCGACGCACAGTAGGCTACGAACATATCGTGGGAAAGAAAAATTTATATCCTTCTGTTTGATCGTTTAACCCTTCTACAGCGGATTCTGAGGCTCAAATTTACAAAATATCATTTTTAAACAAAAGAGTTTTGTATATGGGAAGAATAATTTTTAGAAAAGCAATGTAAACTTTAGAAAATAGAATATAAAGTTACATTAAAATTGAGGCTCTCTCCCTGGTCCGTCGTTTAAGAGTTAATAAGTTGCGAACAGATTTCTATAAAAGTTTTATTGATAAATTAAAAATAATGACGACTGCAGTAAAAATGATTAAAAATTGCTAAGAATTCGAGGTCAGTTATTTTATTCAGGATTTATTTTCTGTTACTTCTGTTTGTATTTCTTGGAGTATCGAGAATTATTGGAATACCTACCTCTGGAAGCTGGAGTAAGGCAAGTTGGAACTAATAATACGTTCGGCAGAACCGGGAGGACTCCTTGGAGGAACTCGATCTCTACTACACCGTGGGGATGCTGGTATAATTCTCGTCAAAGATTCTCTGCTACCCGTAATATGCCGTAGAGGGGCCGTTGATAAACCTCCATCCGAGAATGAGGAGTCATACTTTAGGCTCAAATCCTGTGTTAAACAACCAAGTTCTCCGCTCTAATTCAAGCGTTAATTACTGAATCAAGACATCGTGAATTGTTCAGTATCCAATGAATTTGCATTAGAAATTCATTCGAATAGCTGACGGATTTATCTCGCGGTATAACATTTAGTAACCCAAGAGAATACGTATATCGTGAATTACAAATATATACTAACCTTTGTTAATGCATGAATATTACCAATGGATTTCGTTTTCTTCCCTTTAACGTTTCGTTTGCGAAGGGTGCTGCTACTGGTCGGCGAAAGGGTTCCTATACTTTCAGTCGTGGACCAATCGCGACCACCAAAAGCCCTAATCGCGTCCGCTGTCATTGGGTCGAGACAGCCTTCTTCAAAATAAAGCTGAAGATATTTTTCTTTTAACCATCGGGATCTACGATCCGTTAGTTGCTGTTGCCGTTTCAGACCTCGCAATATCCAACAAAGACCCATGTACCAAATTCTGAAACAAACAATCAGAGTCCTCGTTAAGGATTGATTGATCCTATCACAAATAAATTCTAATTGAAAAACACCGCTCGATATGTAAGAAATATTGAAACTGTAACTGCTTACTGTGTTACCTTGTAGGAATAACTTTTTCAATAGGTAGATGTTTATTTTTAACACTACTATAGTAGACAATTTATATAGACTCGACAAAACAGCTATTCTCCGCACGACTCGCAAGCTAACGTAGTGCTGTTGGATAAAGGTCTGTCGTAACAGTATATTCTCTGGAAAATAACGAGCGTACCGTTTCGCTGATCTGTTGCTACTACATCTCGACCAACAAGAAAACCTAAACTGAATTTCTCGGGAAATATTGCAAGGAATTTCAATACTCTTAATATTTTCGTTAGATGTACAAAAGTTGTAATTATAAAAGTCACCCTACCGTAATATACACGTTGAGGATATGTGAGAAGCAGGTTGCTAAGATACAATACATACTAGGGGGATACATATCATTCCAACTGTGATAAAAGAAAAAGAACACGTTTCATTTTTTTAAATTAAAAATTAGTCACTAATTTAAATAATTGCAAAAGCATATTAAAAGGATTAAACGAGATGAAAAGATTTTGAGAGTGAAAAATTCGGGAACCAGTGGCTTAACGTAGTGTTTCCCAAAGTATGGTACGCGTACCCCCTGGGGGACGGGAAGAGCTTGGTGAGTTTGGCTGCGCCTGATGCACTAAGCAGCTTACTTTTTCTCGATTACAAACATAGAAAAATGTTTGCTGCATTTCAAATTAAAATTAACAACCAGGGAACCAAATTATTATGATCAGTCGCCTTAACATAAACAATTTCATCCTTCTCATTGATTATAATGAATGATGTTATTTATAATATAACTTTTACTTATTTTATTTTTATTTTATTTTTCGTTTATGTACTTTAAAAGGAAAAAATAAATATATTTTGATTGTTATTAAAGTATAGCAATTTTTTTTTTTTTTGACGAGGAGTACTTAGTGTTACGAAAATTATAGAAGGGGTACACAGATGTCGAAAGTTTGGGAAACACTGGCTTAACGTAAGAAGGAAGAGGAATCGTCGATTGTACTACTTACTTGCAGAGAGCAGGCGGGCAAAGTAGAAAGATCAGTCGATTATCCGGCAGACTGGAGCCGTACATGAGGCCGATGCACGAATCGGAGCCCGGTAGACCGTACCTCTTGCAAATGCTTCGGAGATCGGCATCTCTGTCCCGATCACAACAACCGATCATAACTTCTTTTACGGAGCTTAGGTCTAGAAATCCTTCATCCAGCGTCACGGAAGCGCAATCCGTTTGTTGATTCGCATATTTCCCTAATAAACCAGCCGGTACCGTGTCCTCTGGATTGGCAGTTAACGAGAATTCTGTGAGGGCCGCGCCGCCGAGCTGAGCAGTTTTCAACGGACTCCAGGGAGGCTTTTCCCAGACGAAGGTACCGCAAGCACGATCCACTCGCGCGAATACCAAAGCTGTTCTCGTAGTACCTCCTTCGCAGTCCCAGTGCACCAATGTTGTCCCGTGATGCAGCACCTAATGCAAAATTAGACGTTTGGAAATCTTCGAACTTTGAAAATATGGTATTTCGGAATTTGGAGATTTTAGAACTCTTGAATCTTCGAATTTTAGAATTTTGATATTTGAAAATTTGGGAATTTAGAAATCTTAAAATATTGGTATCCCTTTAATACCAAATAAATTTTGTAAATAAAACTTCAAAGCACAAATACGTCGGTACGTGACTCAAAGAACGTAACGAAAGCACGAAGAATCGTGAAAATCTTTCCACACTATTAGACAAGCTGCAATCTCGGGGCCATTAAGATCGTTTTAGTGGTATCTGTGCAATTGCGGTGCACCAAAATCGTGCGGATGCACAACGTACGGTCGAAAGTAGCACACATCGTGGCTGTGTTTATAATGTTGATGGAACTTCTAATGCAGTCAGAAGCATGTTTATATGGCCGATCGTAAGTGCAGCCTCTGTGAACGTTTATAAAAGTATACAAGCGAGATACGGGCATTTACGTGAAATTATTTATCTTTGTCGATACATTGACACGTTAATTGAGGATGCACTGAAAGACGGCCACTCAACGGATGCTCACAGTGATCTATCAGCTGTATGTGAAATCACGCGTCCGCTTTATGCATGCTTTACTGCATTTTCGTGGACGCCATGCCACTTTGACTCGCGTTATGAAAGAGTAAAGACAGCTTCCGGTTACAATATTAAAGAGCCACTAATGCAGCCACTGATGCACCTGTATGCAATTGCATCTGCATATGGCTTTAATTGCTTCAGCGATATATCGGTTAAAATATTAACTTAAATAAGAAATGATTTAATAATTAATCGTTCCAAAAGTGGACTATTTCTATCGACAATAAATTAGGGCTGTTTTAATCTTTTCCTGTTTTCTTAATAATATTATAAGTCAGGATGTTTCGTTCCCTCTCTTCGAGATTTCTACAAGGAACCAATTAATAAAACAACATTCTATTCTAAAGGGCGACCCGGTTTTGTTTTCCTAACCCCTTTCTTCAACGTCTTCCAGTTTTAATCCTTTTCATTTATGTCTACCCTCCTCGCTTGCTTCTCGATCTCGACCACTCGCTCTATCTCTTTCTCGCGAATTTCCACGAAATATACCTAAAGTAGCATGGTAAGGTTGGCTCTTTGAAATCCTTTTGAAGTGCAGGAGAACTACACCGACGACGATGCCTTTTATCTTAGTACCATGGCACGGCCAGCAACTATGAAAGTACATAGCTGGACGCTAGGATATTAATATTTCGAAATCATCCGAGGGTAAGGTCGTGTCTTTATGTACGCTCCTTTTCAAGGTTTGCACCATAGATGTATCTGTATAAACCTCACCGCTCGTGATGGGAATTCAGATGATGGGATCATTTTCATTCTTCGACATCGTCTGTTAATATGTATTTGCTTAGAGATTCTCTATTTTCAAATACCATTAATGTAATAGGGTTCTTAACCCTCGGATGGCGGACCATGGAGAGAGTCTCTATTTTATTTTCTAAGTCATACACTGTTCCTTTAAAAATTACTGTTCCAATATATGAAATTCTTTCGTTTAAAAATGATAGATTTAACTGGAAATTGATTAAAATAAAATCAGGTCTTTCTCCATGGTCCGCCATTCGAGGATTCAGAATCATCACGTAGGGATCGATAATTGTTACCTTAACTATGTAATATTTTCTTATTAGCTTCACTTAATATTTTTTAATTTTCGGGCTGATAAATTTTCTTTGTTAATTATATTTATCTCGAAAAAAAAAAAAAAAAAAAAATCGAGGGGGAATTTATATTACTCACTGCAAAATGACCATTTACCTGTAGCAGATGCAGATCCATTCCAGAATGTGGAGCAGCAACGGGAAACAAGGCAACCCCATGATCGATGGGGATCGGTTGCACGGGTCTGTACGAATCGAGATCGAGATGATAGTCGTTCTCGTCGCATTCTTCGGCCATGTAAGTTTGCTCGATCGCGGTCGTATGAATACTCAGAGTACGATGGAGGGAACCAGTTGTCGCGTCTCTGCCTCGAGCATGTCGGTGCTAGACGGAAATATGGTTACTTCATGAATATTTAGAAATATTTCGGTACCAGACTGGATGAATTATGCACGGCGCTTTGAATATCCGTGAAACGAAGCTTTTATAATTCACGAATCAACTTTACCTGTCAAGAATTACATGAAATCTGGCTTTGCGGCTGGATTTACCGTGTATTTAACTGCTTAACGTTTAATAATGCAAACACCAATTTTTATTGCTCTCATAACGTTTATTAACAACCATCGGAAATGCGAATACATTTTTGCGGTAGATTTCACGTTTAGAAACGATTCGAGAAAATGCAATTCACCGTGTGAATCGTTCTTCACCTACATGACCGTAAAGACCAGCCACTGTTCTGAAGTGGAGCGTAAATATTGAGAGTGAAGTGGTAACGTCTTGACCTATTTTACCCAATTTTTCGAAACTTTGAAAAAAAAAAAAACGAAAACAAAATAGATGCTATAATTTTCAAACTTTTATCGAAATCGATTTAACCACGTTTAACACGTATTTCTTGGAAACACACTTTTCGAAAATAAATCTATAAGTTCAGATTTATTGTGCTGGTACTAAAAATACATTTTGCTTTTATTTCGCACAACTTTTTATTCTGATTATTCTTGTACGTAACAAAGTCTGCTTTACTGACCTAATTATATCTGTCCGGGCAAAAGGGGTAAAACTTGCAAACGTAATTTCAACATTTTGTGCGCTTTATCTTACTCTAAATTAAAATATAAACGCAGAATTAAAGACAAATGAAATTTAAATCAACGTTGAATTTGCTCTGATTTTATTTCAATCTTCATCTTCTAGATCATTTCAATTTTATTTTAAAATAACATTAAAATGGATCATCATCGGACCCCTATCCCTCTGTTAATAACAAATACTACAGCTACCGAGGTGTATTATCCAAACAGCCGTAAAACTTCTCTATGAAACATGTTTTGATACTTTGTTCAGTTCATGAAATATTTAAGTGTGCTACTTTAGATACCTCGCTCTCTATACAGAATGTTAACAAAAAGGGATTTAAGAGTCTGAGAAGGCTTATGGTAGCTCGCCGAAGGAATAAAGATGGTTTCATTGATTCAGCTTTTCGACGAAAAATGGATATCAGTTTAATAATCTTCGAGGTAATCAAGTTTGATTGATAGGAAATTGATTTTACCTTATGAAATTCGGCAACCTTCTCAAGGACGAAATGGGTGTCGCGGTTCTCGTGCTTCTTCAAGGAACTATTTCTTAAGTTCCATTCAGTCGGCGATTCCGTGCTACTGTCGATAGCAATCTTCGCGGTTTGCCCCGAGGACAAGGCGGTTTCGGTATCGCTATCTTTGCTGCTGCTACGAGGCGACTCATGGTTGTCTTTGTATTCGTGTTGGGGCTGCAACAAATAATTTCTTACATATACCTTCTTCCACAGAATTATTGTATTTATATGAAAGACATTTCTCTCGATAACAGTCTTCTAAATGTTACGGATTTTTAAATATTTTTAAACAAATCAGAGTTTTCATAATCAATCCGAAGCAATTTTCTAATCGGCTAAACATTTTTTAAATAACAGAAATGGTAGTAATTGTACGATACAAATTACCATGAAAGCTTTAAGAGAATGTTGCAGTTGGTCGTGAATGTTGTTCGTGCGCTAACAAAGCTTAAACCTGTCAGTAGCGTTACGAAACATATTCTGTTTCCTTAGAATATCTTCTGGGCTCTTTAGATTTACAACCCTTGTTTGGGATCCTTTCGGACTGACAAAGTTCTTTGTCGGAAGAATTAAGGACGTTGAAATTGAGAATCCAGCTTCGCGAGCTCGGCTACCACCGCGATCAATTTCACCATGTTTACGTAACAACAGGAAAATACGTCTTTTTAAGATAAATGGCATTTGTACTGCCTTACTCAAGAACTTCGCCATTTATCTTCTATGTATTTAAATATACTAAAAATATTGTAAAATATACAAATACATTAAGGGTGCTATCATAATCTGAACATGTTATATTTTTTATTCCAAAGATATCAAAAAATTTTAATTCATTATCGTTAAAATCTTTTAAATATATTTATATGTGTTTTTTGTCAAGGTAAGGCACTAGCACTTTCAGTGTATGAAGGTATTCTTTATAAAAGGAACGTTTGTTTCTTCACTGGAACGTTTGTTCTCAAGTTTGACAGTTCAACTATAGTTGAAAGCGATTTAAAGCGTGACAATCTCAACAGAACTTTCTTTCGCTTTCTTTGACTTTTTTTTTTTTAAAGAATCGTTCTATCACGAAAGAGGTCTACGTCCTCGTAACAGCTAACGTGCCGTGACCGAGCTTTATCCCACTCGACACAAGAAAAAGAACATTACACAGCGAGGGCAATGGTTCGGATTAGAAGATGTCTATCTCTTAAAAGATACCCGTGCTTCAACTGTCTATTAGGCCGAAATCCCTTGCTGTTGCTTCGTGATGACATAAAAAAATTGTATCGTTAGACGAATTATCAGTACTTTGCTTAATTGGTTTTACGGCTTCGTACTGTGGCTCGGTGGAAATCTCGTCGAACTATTTTCATACAAAGTATATGTTACAACTTTTCGTAGTTACCCGAGCGTTTATGAGCTGTTTTGCGATTATAGATTATGTAAATTTCAGTATTCCATGAGGTATTTACGAGACAAGTTTATTTTCCCCGACATATTATAACAGCGTCGAATAAAGTACCGAATAAAGTTAAAACGTCGACATTCTGATGATAAGCGAGAATGGAACGTCTGCTGTGTTGCTCGACGATTTCTAGCGACAAGAGCAAGTAGTTTCCGCCGGCCTACAACCATCCTTTCTGCTGGAGGCCGATAGAAACCCCTAACCTTATCGCTATAATCCTTCTTCGTTCTTCTTTATCACTCTTCTTCGTGAGAAACGAATTACAATGATATCCAGTTCAGCACGATGTTTTATAAATAATTCAAGCGGGATTAACCCTTCGAATGCTATGGGCGCACATATGTGTATATCATAATCTATATTAAGATCTTTACATTAATATTATAATTTTATATTTAAAAATTTATAACGTTCCAGAATACACAAATAATGTTCATTCTGTCCTTTACCAGCTGAAAGTGTAAAGCTTATCATGAAGCTTGTATATCTTAATCATAATCAAATAAAAGTTATTAACATTAGAACTACCGACGTTTGATGCCCACCTATTTTTAAGTTGAAAATGATGTGGAATATTGAATAGATAAATGATAAAACATAATTTAACATATACATCCATTCATTATCTCGACAATAGCCAACATACATTTCAATAAAAATACCTCAATAAAATTTATAATTTAAAATAATAAACTCAACCAGTCATTTTGACTGGTTTGGTAGTTTTAGTGTTAACGTATATTACTAATTACACACCATACGTTATAAAATCATAATGATAAAAAAGTAATAAAACAGTAATAAAAAAGAGGACAAAATAAATTCAAATAAAAAATGAAAAAATAAATGTACAAATAAATGTACAAATAAAATAAATAAAATGAGAAATGAAAAAAAATGATGTGTTATTGATTTAATACTTACACACAGAGTTAATTAACCATCTGAGAAACGTAATATATTAATTATGTATGAGAAACTCAAATCGTTCAATATGTAATATTTCAAGAGACAGATTCCATCTTTTAAATAACAAATGGTAGAATCGCGGAGGAATAGAATAATTGGAGGATATCGTAAAGCGAATGTTCGTATTCTTCAGTTTCAACGATTCGACATTACTAACCCGTATTGCTGTTTTGTCGCTTTAAAGTGGTCAAGCGGAAGGAAAGAGATGGTAATTTGAGTATCTTTCTCGTGTCTCCGGGCAACCCTTTGACCCCGTTCGTTGCTCATATTCCATGGTTCGATGCTTTAGGCAGAGACGCGAAGGATGTACGGATTTTATCGAAGAACTTCCTTGGACGCTTTCCAAATCGTACGTGTAAGTTTGAGCCGTGAAATCGTTCGATCTCACGGTCTCTTCCGTTCTCTTTTTACGATTTCCTTCTGTTCGATACGTTTGCATAAGTGGCAGGGAACCGATAGCCCATCGGGAAACGTTGTCACGTAGCGACATTTTCATGATCAGCCTCCATTATTACCTTTAGCCCTCGAATGACAACGTTGGCTTGCATTTAGAACCCCACCTGTGGATGGTAACCCGATTTACACCGATACAGAGTGATCGATAAATCCGCGACACAGCGATTTGAAATGAATAAATCAAAATTTTAATTAAATTCAATTGAATTTCTATTGTTTGAAATTTTAGGTAGAGATATGTTAGATCAAAATGAAATTACAGCTTGCTTGTATCGTAAATGAATACTTAACAGAAGTTCTACCGAACATAGACATTGAAGACAGTGATACATGTACGTTTTGAGATATAGAGTTTCGAAGGGACTTAGCGGTGGACAAGCATTAGTTGCGAAAGCAAACCAGAACAGAGGTAGAACTGAGTTTTAACTGAAATAGAATTGAGGTAGAAGTGATATCGAACTGATATTGGATTGCCGTTGAATTAATACTGATCTAATACTAATCTGATTGGAGGACTATATAGGGTACTAAGAATTTTTAAATAAAAATCGAACCAATATAAAAGATAAATCTTCTAAATTAATTTAGATCCTTTTTTAAAGAAAGATAAACATTTTATTTTTCATTTTTATAGAGATCTAATGTAGTTTTGTTAATTCCGACTGATAAAGCTGATAAATTTGCATGAATACGATGATGAATTCTGCGGCCGTATAATTATCAATGTTTCATTATTGATTTACATCCCTTGTCGGTCGCTGGAAATAATTCTGTTTAATGTAATATCTTGGGATCGGAAATATGATCTCTCCGCATATCTAGATATTACTTTTCATTCAATCTTTTAGCATAATACTTGTACTGTATCAAATTATAAATTTAATCGATTGAATAATTGAAATGAAGCGATGATTGTATGAATTATGATGTCATTGAGATCGTGGGAAATCCACCGAGAACGTTATCACATCGATATTTCGATCAGATGAAATTTTATACGACCTGGATATTAATACGTGCCGCGAAAGCAATTCGGTACTTTTATTACTTTTACTATATCCATTGTTACTTTTTATTTCCTTTATTCAGTTTTCTTTTCCTGATCCGTTGCACGATTCTGTGCACAGATTGCTAATGAAAATAGAAACCTGCCAGAAAAATGTATAGAATTGATAATAACACATAGGATTAGAACCCGGAAATTTCAGATTTTTAGATATATAGGTGAAATGTTAAAAATACATTCTGGAAAGATGATGTTTGTTCTGCAATTCGCTTTGATATTCATACTTTGCAAGAGGTGGATTTCTGGATATTAAAGTGAAAAATGAGGAAGATTTGAATCACAACGTCACATCTAGTTATACGAGCTCTTTCTTCTTCATAAATTACTGAAATGAAAGCTCCTTTATATCTTCACATTTCATTTCTTCATTATTCTAAAAGCAACTATCCTTGTTTCATTTATTGTTATAAGCACCGAAGTAAATTTTTAACCATATTCTTCCTTCTTTTTTAAAATCATGTTAATTGGCTTTTAAAATGAAAATGCAATTCATTTTCGTGTATAAATTGTTTACTATATTATTTAAATATATTTTAATTGGTATAAGTTCCTGATACTTCGCTACTGAATATTTCATGATAAGCTTTACACTTTGAGCGGGTAAAGTACAGGATGAATATTATTTGTGAATCCTGGAACGTTATAAACTTTCAAATATAAAATTACAATATTGATATAGAAATCTTATTTTACATTAATAAAGCTTAACAGTATCTTCAAATTATCTATTTCCTTTCTTTTATTCCAAGTGGAATATTAATGCAAATTCAACACGAAAAGAACCTACTATGTATACGTATGAGCTAATTATGCAAATGCTATTCCACAGAATAAACTGAGTCTTCCAACAACTTTACAAATGATAAAAAAAAGGTAGCGGAGTGTTTTAGCAAGTTAGTCATGCATTTCATGTTCATTATCATGATATGGTTTCCTTCTTGCAAAAATTAGTGCAATTTAGGTATTAGAAGTATGCCAAAATTATAAATTGTTCCCCTAATTTTTGCTTTATTTTCACAAAAGTCTTACCTACCATTCTAAGGTTTCCATGCGTGTAATTGACATTTTTTTCTGTAGCGGGTCAGGTCTTTTAGCTTTATTAACAATGTCAAGTGTTTAATATTTTGCATTTTGCTAGAATTTACGAGAAAATGTTAGAATATTAGAATTTTGGGATTTTAGGATTTTGAGATTTTCGAATTTTGGGATTTAGAAATTTGGGGATTTTAGAACTTAGAAATTTAGGAATTTGGGAATTTGAGAATTTTACAGCTTTGGAATTTTAGCATCTTGAAATTTGGAAATTATATAATCTTAAAATCTTAGAATGGTAAGGGGATCAATCCATATTTGGAACAGGCCAGGCCCACCCTGCCCCTCCCTAGTTACCCATGTTCTTCATGGTGTCTTTCTCCTTAAATACACAAAAAGTTATATATAAATTCTTTTCTAATTTACGGATATCATAGAAACAAGAGAAGTTTCATTTTCTAATTTGAAAATCAGTAGAGGTATTATAATAGTATATAATGAAAGTTGGACAAGATTTTGTCAAGGCTTTGAAACTTTAACCCGTCGTTAGAATTCCCAGGGCAACGTATACAAACGTTCCAAGGTTTTTGTAGGATAGTAATCGGTCGACGAGGTCTGTCATTCGTAGAGGTATAGGATCTAATGGTTTACCTTAGACTCCGAAGCAATGACTTCCCGCAATTCCCGTAGGAAGGCTCCAAAGAACGGCACAACCGGACATTCCGGCATTGCCAAAGCCCGAGCAAGTGTGAACTCATAGTCGGCAGACAGAAGGGCTGAAGAAAGATTTTCCAACACTGGTACTGGCTCGTTTATGCTATGCCAAAATGGCTTTAGCTTATTGGATCTGTAACATAATATATTTGATTAAAAAAATTTCTCTACTTATATTTTTAACATGACTTTTTAATTTTTCAACTTGACATTATTAGCAAAATATTTTATGATTAAAGTATTATTTAATTAATACTTATTTAATACTGTGCTTGATATTTCATTTAATCCATTTTTCCTATTATCAAGTTCTATATGAATTCTTATTCACCTAAGGGTAAACTTATATCTTTAGAACGTGTAGCCTTTATCGAACGAACTTCCGAAGAGATCCCCCAAGTTTCACTTAATTACAACGTTCTCTGTTCTGTAAGTTCTTCTTTATGGTGCTCCGTGCAATAATTTTAAATAGATTTTGTGGTATTAAGATCTTGTAATTAACGTAGCCGAAGAAAATCCTTCAATGAGTTGACATCTATTTTACAGTCGCTGTTATTCAATTCCAAATAAAATGATCATTACAATAAATAAAAAATAGTAACAGTAATATAATCTTTGCTAATGTGAAAATAAAAAGCGATTTTAAACTCTTATCAAATTTTACTCGTCAATTTGGAAGTTCTGAAACTTTTTTAATATTCGAATAGACAAATTAGGGAAAGTTAAAAAGTAGTTAGGTAAAGTTGAAAAATGAGGACGTAACAGCGAGATATCGTGATGAAACGATTCATAATGTATCCTTACTTCATAAAATATCATTATGAATAAGCCGGTCATATACTTTCGGCCAGTGATGTAGGTCATGGTACGGTGGGCAAGGGATAAAATTTTAACTATTCAGTTAATCGCAGAATTCGCCGAAACGGAAACTCAAACAGAACCATAGAACGGGGTAAATTGTAAGTACAGAGGTGGCCATTGAGGGCAATGGCTGTGTCTGGAACGATACTCGAGCAGGAACTTTTATCTTCTCGTTCGCGGTTGCAACCTGTTTTACGATACTGTTAATAAAAACTACTTTATTTTTCCATTCGTTCTGAAAACGATCTCGAGGGTGCCACTTAAGGAAGAACCTGCTCTGCTTTAAACGTATAAAAACACTGTACGTTTTTAATGATCGAAAGGAGCTACCATTGTTTAATTTACGACCTCGAGCAATTATTTATTAACAGTTGAATTTCTTCAAAATTATAATTAAATGATTAGCCAATTGATAATATTATTGAAGAAGATTTTTAAATTAGAATCTAAAGCTAATAGAATGAAACACAGGCTTCTAAGATGTTTCTTGAAGTAATATGATTATAAAAGAGGATACGACTCTCGAAATATCTGTACAATGAAATGAAAAACATTCCAGGAATGTGAGCTACATTGAATAAAGAAATTTTTCGAGAGATTTCTTTTCCACGAAATAATATACACTTAGAAGAACTAAATAGGATGGGACAACACACTGTGACAAATACTTCTCTATATAAGCTCGAGTGTATAGCAGGGCTTTGGACTGTCGCAGTGAATTTACAGTGAGAAATAAAACTGAAAGAATGAAAGTATTTCTCTAGAAAAGTGTTATTTATTTATATATAAATTGAAAGTAACAGAAAAGATGAACCTGTTTATAATGATTTCAGTTTAAGAAATAATTAGTGTTGTGATTTTATTACTAAAAGTTCGATTTTATTAAAAATCATCATGTGATTCCAACACTTTTGAGCTGTAGTGTAGCTGGGAAGTGAAGTGTGCTGAATGAAATGTGCAAAAAAAAAATGAATGAAGCCTATTAAGAGTGAATAGTATTCAGGGAATATGAAGTACGTATTTAATCGAGAAGAAAGTGGAATCAAGTAGTTGTAAATGAACAAAAACACGAGTGTACGATTGAAATAGCATGATGTGAAGATTATTAAAAAACGACATAAACTTTTGGTAGTGACCTGAAAATTATCAGAACCAACCCGTAGTCAGATATGGACGTTCAAATAAATGGAATTATACGGTATAATAGGTCGGATTAGGTATATAACCATTTCCACTTGCCT